GCAGCTAGAACTCTGTAAAGCTTTCAAAAAATACTTGTAATTCAACCATCCTGAAACCCCAAAACTGGCCAGTGGGATTAAAAGGCATGTATTTGTTGTTGTTTCATTTGCTAAAACAATATCATTTATCAGAAATCGAAACGAAAATAGTAAAACTCAAACAATCATGGATTTTCAACTTTCTTAAGAACTTTCTCCACTTTCTGAAAATCCCTGAAATGTGTGATACACATGGTTCTCTCAGGAAAACTAACCAAATTCAAGCTTAAAATTGGGATATTTCATTAAATCACTTTAACCTACATGTTTCTTTTTTTCTTTTTCTTTTTTAAATCTGCAAAAATAAACCATTTGCTCTATTGTGAAAACTAAATCTTCTTTGCACAACTGAGAAGCCATGACTGACTTAGCTGTGGCCAACAGGCATGTGACAAAAATGCAGAGACTTTTCAGATGAACTGCAGGCTGTGTTTACACAGAGCAGCGAGGAGACGAGAATATTGAGAGGATATAAATAAATAAAACACCCTGGATGAATAGCAAGGCTTATAAACAGCAAACATAGCAGAAAGTTGTCTGCATGTTGTTGGAAGACATATTCAGCACGGAGAAAGTAGTGCTTAAAAAAGTGCAAGTGGTAAAACTATAAGGCGTGATATATCTATAGAATGTAGATGTTTTTTTTGGTAAAACCTGTGGGCTAAAGTTTGTCTGTTGTAAACTAAATAATCAAAGAAATTAAGCTTTTTTTCTCCATTTTATTAATAATGGCATTATAACTCAGTCTATTTGTCATACTGGACAAAAGATAAGTTGAGTTCTCTCTACTTGTAGACATGTTGGTGCTGTAGAAGTGCAGGACTTTATATTGTAGTGAAAAATGAGCCCACAGTGAATAAAAATGTAACAGAAACACTAAGAAGCTGCTTGGACAGTAATTAGTGGGCAACAGTTAAGTTACATACTGGTGTTGAAACTGAACCTTTGACTCCATTCACACTTATTCCATTGACACAATGTCACACTAAGTCCATGTGCTTTTGTTGGACTGGATATCTGATCTCCAGCATCATAAATGCATCCAAGAAGCATTCAAGACTAAAAACCGATTGTTAAAAAATCTAATTAAAGTTACTAAAGTGACAGTGAGATGATTAATCTCTGTGTCTTACTAAAACAACATGGATAAGTGCTTCCAAACAACAATACACATGCAACCAATCACAAGGCACACTAATTCTTAATCAGAACAACTACTGAAAGAATACTGTGTACGCATAAGTTAAAGCTGTGAAGATGATAAATGCTCGTACTTCATAAACACATTTATTCATGTTGTGCTATGATAGCAGGTATTTAACACCATCTGAACTGTACTTTTGTAACAAAAATGCAGAAGTAATTCATCTTCTGATGTTTTACATGCTTTAGGATCTCCTCCTTTACTGGAGGATGCTTGATCTTGATTGGCACGTAGCCTGAGAAAACAAAGACAAACTAGCTATCTGGATTATAAAGCTAAATTGAAATCTAAGGGCCTAAAATCTCACTTTGGGCTTAATTGGATCCCACAAGAGCTTCAAAAGGTTTTTGGATTTGATAAGTGAATCTGACACTATATTCCAATTCCATAAAATCTGACTAAACAACAGTTACTTTGAAGTAGACATTAATTGTCATTGGGTCTTTTTTATGTGGAGAACATATCTTTGTGGTTATACTTTGTGGAACATATTTGACACTATATAGACAATCGGCACAGGCCTGAACAGCAATTTATAGAAAATTGTAAGAATCTAAACTGCTATCAAAAGACTGTTGTTAATGCTTCTGATATTTTTGTTATTTTATTCTAAACTATCTCAACATTTCTTGTTTCGGCCTGGTGTTTGTGAGGCCAGTGGTATAGAGTTGTATGGACACTACAGTGACTCCTCTTGTGTGTCATTTGGAGAGGAGCACTGGTTCAGTAAATGAACCCTCAGACCAGCTTTGGCTCCATTCTGGCAGGCCGTAAACAGCACATCACATAGGGACAGCCTTAAAAAAAAAGACACGGCTTCGCTGAATATATATTTAAGAGTCATACATAAAAAAGTTATTTCTTCCCCACAAATGTATTGAATATGAATGTCTGGAAATTTTGGTGGCTGCCCTCTCCCCTCTCTATGTGTCTGTGTCCCATTTCCCTCTCTGGCTTTGAAGTCTGGCCATTTCTCTGGCATTTACAAACTGCGAGCTGAAATTAAAATGAGCTGAGGAGGTTATTTTCAGACTGGGTCTGGGTCACTGTGGCCAGGTCTGGGTCTGCCTGAGTCTGCAGTGCTGCAAAGCCAAGCGTCAACACAGTTCTGTCTGCTGACCTCCCCATTAATATCCCCGAGTCGGTCCGACAGGCTGTGGCCAGAGGCACAACCACTCAAACTGAAGTCTACAGATTCTTTGAAAAATATTGGCTTATTCACAAATGCATACTGGTGAGTATGATGTTGGAGTTCGGCCTTGAATTTATGGCAAGCCACAATAACCAACCATGGGCTCGTGAATTATGTCTGTTGTTGATCTGTCAGATGTATAAGAGTTTGACTGCCAGGCAGAGGTGGTCCAAAAATTATATTTTGTCTCTCTAAATAGTTTTTTTAAAAACTCCACAGGCCAATGGGGCTCGTCAGAGGAACCTCAGGCTTATACAGCTGAAGGTGTGAGGAAATGTGTGTACTGGGTGTTTGTCCATACATAAAGAAAATGAACAGGGACAGTCAGTCTCTGAATGTGTGGCAGCAGCCATTTAACACTGTGTTCCACTGTAAACCATAATTGGGCGATAATATGATAAATGGGAGGCAGATAACAGGTATTGAGAGGCTCAGCTGTAGACAGCCTCCCTCCATTCATATCAACACAGACACTTGTTTTGGCAAACTGAGGGGTTCTCCCTGAATGACACAGTTATTTTATTCCGTCTCTCACATCCTCACTCTCACATTCCCTCCCTTTGTCTGAAATTGCCCACAGAAAATGAGACTAATAATTCATTTTCGACAGCCCCAAGCAGCAGGCAATGCTTATGTCTTTATGCCATTACCGCTGGAGCTGCAATTTGAACAAATCCTTTTACTGCCCAACTGCAAGCTCCACATTCTCTCCATATCCTCACGGTGTCAGAGCAGATGTGATGGGTTTTGTGCGTGTGTGTGAGCATAAATTTGGGTTGAAACTTTTCCCATGTTTACGTCCTAGAAATATCTCACTCTTTTCCCAGGACTCTCAGAATTTCTCACCATGCACAAAGTTTGATTTTGAAAACAGATCTTGTTTGTTGATTATGGGAAACTATTTTCAGTACAGCAACAATTCCTCCTAAAAGTAGAGATTTTTAAGGCAGAAAAAACGAAATGAAATCTGTATAGGATCACTGACAGCACTCTTTGGAGTGTACATCCGAGGTGTTGTACAGCAGCATTTGACCATCTTCATACGTAAGTGTTGAAGGTTTCCTGTTGGCATTGGTCGGGTAGGAAAGTGTGAATTCAGTCAACAACAACTATGACCAAAAACATTCGCTGATGATCAATAAAAACTATTGAAAACAAGAACTGGTTTGGAATTTTCATCAGCGAACAAAACTAAATGAAAAGGATCAAAGTGGCCAAACAAATTACTGCTTTACTGCAAGATCTTGTTCATTTATTCATTCATTTAATATAAAAATGATAACTTTAACTGTATTTACTGAGGGAAGTCCATCTGTTGTATCACTGCAGAGCAGTGCAGTGATTGTGTTACACTTTCTCGTCTGTTATTTTGGCAGCCGAGGTCATAAAAATTCTGTCAAAATATATTCTTACCCATCATTTTAAGTTCATTTTTTGAGACTGCTGTCCGTTTGACACGTCCTCCATCTCTACAGAGGACTTCTGAAGCCCTGTCAGAGCGGCTGCCGGGTTCTTGTGACCTCCCTGACCAGGCTCTTCTTTCTCGGTTAGCCGGTTTGGCCAGACAGACAACTCTGTGCAGAGTCCTGCTGGTTCCTGACTTCTTTCATTTCACAGTTATTGAAGTCACTGAGCTCCTGAGAACACCCAGAGCTTTAGAAATGATTTGATACCTTCGTCCTGATCTGTGTTTTGCCACAATGCTATCATGGGAGTGTACACACAGTTCTTGGACTTGGAGTGTGCATTGTGGAACCGTACATCCACAGTTGTGTGCTTTTCTACTCTATGTCCAACCAGTTCAGTTTGCCACAGGTGAACCCCAGTCAAGCTCCAGACACGGGGTCACAGCACAGGCTCTAAATGGGTGATTTTAGTTTTGGATTTTTGATACATAACATCTGTAGCTGACACTGGTTCCTTGATTTTGCATATTTTCCTGATAATGACCGTTTATTAAAAGATAGACACTGGTACAATAGAGGTCGATCCCAACTGATCCACAACTGAACAATGTTAACTCCCTATTGTAAATTTTCCTGGTGAGGGATCAATAAAGTTTATCTCATCTTATCTAGTCTTATAAATCACTACCAGCAGTTTTACTTTTCAAACCTGCAAACTATGCACCATTGAAACTAATGCTCACTACTTTTCAAAATGTTTAAACATCCATTGGTTTTTAAATTATACAGTACGTATAAATAAATCAGCCTGCAGGGACTTGAAACTTTCTTGAGGTAAGCCATTACAGTGAACATTGTGTCTGCTTCTGTAATTATAAAGGTTATGTTAACACTGCACAGTAACGTGCACTGAAATGAAGAGCAAGCCAAGAAACCTGATGTTGTACTAGCAACAATACAAACATTTACAATGTCCATTATTATGGATTATGTTTCTCGAGCACAGTGAAGTCTCTGTAAGTGAATTTTCAGACAACAGTGGAATGAGTAGAAACCAAGGTGGAGCAATACACGATGATTTCCTTCTCGACAGTTACACTCTTAACATCAATATCAAACCAAAATTGGAGTGAAAAGGTGATTTGTGGGACTTACTCACCATGGATGGGGTTGTGTCCAACTGTTAGGGGGATGGGCCTCTCAGGCTGGGCCTGGACATGCGTCTGTGTGTGCGTGGAGTGTGTGTGGTAGTATTTGGGCTTTATAACATACTGCTGGTTCTGACCTGGGTGTATGGGCATGGGCCGGATCCTGGAGGAAAAGAAGAACAAAATCAAATACAACATGCCCATCTTTTAGGAAATTAAATAGCAGCGTAAGCTAAAGAAGATGTCAGTAAAAGTTGCAGACTACAGGAACCGCCTCCGTTTTAACCTCAGATGAAGGCAACACAGACCGGTCCCTAACAGCTTCCGCCTGGGCTCCACTGTCCAGGCCACAGAGCACAACATACTCCTACATAAACAAATCAACGAGGTCTTGAGTTACATTCGGTTGGAAAGACAGAAGGTAAAATAAAAAAAAAACGTATTAGCAAATATTGGACTTAACTACGAGTGGAATAATCTGACACTCATGCAGCACAAGGCACAGAACCAGTTACTAAGTGAGAGAGGAAGACAGATTCAATTCACCATCAAAGCACTTAAAGACAAGAGGAAACAGATCCTCTAGAAACTGACAACACACCAACCCAGTACAGTCATGGAGGAAACAGCTAAGTGTAAAGAGAAGGCAGCGCTGGCTCAACAAGAAAAGGATAGGAAACGACCAACACTTCATACTGTGGGATATGACAAATAACAAGAGGGTAATATTTCAATCAGTCAGAGAAAATTTAAGAGGATTCCACATCTTAGATACTGAAAAATGCACCTGTCAGTCAACTAAGCCTGGAACATGAGCTGGATGTCATCAGAACCTGATAGCACCAGAGAATGTCTCCACCAACACAAAGGGAGGTCAGAAGGAACACAGTCATATTAGGAAAGCACCGAGGGACTGTGGCTACCCCAACTGGTCCTCCGTCAAACCAACAAAAAGATCTAGAAAACACAACATCACTACAAAGAGAAGAAACGAAAAACAGGAACAATATCTTCATTTCATATCCAACTGGAGTATCTGAATACTCAGAGGGATTTTCTCCACACATAACATACTGGTGCACTTCAGACCCAGTAACACTCTGAGACAGTAACTGGTTCACCCTAAGGACAAAACACCAACACGCAAGCAGAGCAACGCTGTATGCTGTCCAATGCAGCAAGGAGTGTACAGACTTGTACACAGGAGAGACTAAACAACAGCTTGGCTCAACAGAGGAGAGCAGCTCCTCAGGACAAGACTCAGCATCCACCTGCATCTGAAGGACAAGAACACTTCTTTGAGGACAGCAATGTACATATTCTGGACAGAGAGCACAGATGATCTGAGACATGGCAGATTCATATCCTTTGTTGTGTAAACTGGCAGTTCCACCACCATGATTGCTGTCGTTGTTGGTGGACCACCTGGTTTCACAACCATTTACACCATGAGGCACCTTGACATCCTGTCCGTTAATGGGTCATCAGCCATGTGAGAATTGTGAGACCCATTATCAGTGATGTAGAACTGAAGAAACCTCTTAGATAAGTGGTGAAACGTCTTCAAGAACCTAAAAGAGCAGTCCTGTTGTTTTCTACTGAAGCTCCTAGGCTGGGATAGGCTCCAGCCCCCTGCGATCCTAGTGAGGATTAAGCGGTGTATAGATAATGGATGGATGTATGGATATTTGTTCCTCTAAAAATAACATCATAATTCCAAAATGGTGGATGGTGGTGGAAATGTCCATCTCACGTCTGGACTATCAGTTAAAACTTTTCATTCTACTAGAAACATACAGCGAAAATCGTGATATTCTTCTAATGCGTTCCAATGAATAAAAGAAATGTAAAAAATTTTACAAAATGACTTTTTTTTCTCCAACTCTGAGCCAGAAACACCAGCAGCACGTACACATCCAAAACATTCCACTTCTATTCCTGTCTATATTCTGAAGGTTTTCATCCACAGTCTGATTTCTAGAACATTTTATTCTAAAAACATTGAAAATTTGATCTTTTTCTGGCCTTTTCTTTTTCTTTTTCAAAAAGACAACCTAAATTCCATCTGGAAAAAACTAAACAAAATGAAACAAAACTTTTTTAACCTGACTTTGTCCAAAGTTCAGATTTCTGTTCTGTCAGTTTTGTATTATTTATTACATGTACAGTGAAATATTTAAAGCTTTTATTTACTTTAATTTTGATGACTCCAGCTTATAGCTTTTTACAATCAGAAATCCAGCTTCTTAAATTATTAGAATATTTTGTAAAATCAATTTTTTAAAAAAAGACAGAGAGAATTTGCAATACACAAATGTCAAACTTTTGCTAAGTATTTTCATTCATCTTGCAATAGACTGATGACCTGTCCAGGGTGACTCCAGCCCTCCTGCAACCATACAGAGTATAAAGTGGTGCATAGAAAATGCTGGAAAAGTAAATCAGCATCTCCATAAATCTTGTCAGCAGACAGAAGCATGAAGTGCCCTAAAATCTTCTGGTAGAAGCTAATTAAACTTCACACTGGACTTCAAACACCTTGGATTCTGAGTCTCTTCACTCTTCCTTCAGACTCTAGAACCTTGACTTCCAAATGAAATACAAAATTTACTTTCATCTGAAACGAAAACTTTGAAGCACTGAGCACACTGAGCAACAGTCCCAGGTAAGATCTTCTGATGTCTCTGGTTCAGGAGTGGTTTGATATTAGGAATACAGCAGTGGTAGCTCTTTTCCTGTAGACGCCTGTGCTCGGTGGCTCATGATGCACTGACACCAGCCTCAGTCCTTATGGAGCTCTCCAAAGTCTTGAATTGCCTTTTCTTGACAATCCTCTAAAGCTTCATCTTTGTTGCTTGTGTACCTTTTCCTACCACACTTTTCCCTTCCAGTCAACTTTCCATGAATATTTTTGATACATCACTCTGCCTACAGCCAGCCTGCTCAGCAATGACCTTCTGTGGTCTATCCTCCTTGTGGAGGGAGTCAACCATCATCTTCTAGACAACTTCTATGTCAGCAGTCTTCACCATAATTGTGGTTGCGTGTACAAAACAAAGCAGAATTGCACATATTTATAATGTTTGAATA